GGGGTAACGATCGAGGAGCTGCATACGGGAATCTCGCAAGGAGACGCTAACGGCGCCAAGCTACAGTCCTTTTACGGGATTTATGGTAATATTCGTGGATCCGCCAGGTATGATTTTGATGATTTTTTCTTTTTTGTTCCTTTGGGTAATATGTGGAGGTCAACAAATGCACAACAGTCTACTTGTATGCAGCGGACAAATGACCCTAGTACCACATAACACCATCGGATCCGCAACATCCATGCAAGCGGACAGAAGGCGTTTATAAATATTCTAAGAATGCCCCTGCACATGCACTATAATATGTATGCACATAGGTACACAAAAGGAGACAAGTGCAATCATAAAACCCGCATGGGCCTCGATGAGTGTGTTGTAGGAATACACGTAATGTCTAAGGATATTGCGCGGGTCAATAAATTTGAACCAGATCATCCTAAACAGGTAAATAGGAGTCGATATGGTTCAACAAATAATTATAAAATGCTCCCATGCACTCGTATGAGCCCCGGTGAGCGTGTCGTAGGAACACACGTGACGTGTAGGGATACTTCGTGGGTCAATAAATGAACTTAGTTTGAAACCGATCTTTCTATATGGATAGATAGAGGTCGACATGACTCGAACTATCAAATAGATATGTGGTCAAGGCGTCGACTGGAATATCTATTTTATACGTTCATATAAGGACTTCAAAGCCTCCAACAAAAAAAAATCATCAACAAATACATATAGTCTACAAAACTCGATCCTCTGTCAACTGCCCGACAGAGTCGACAAGGCTCAATTCACAAATGGAAATTATCCTATCACCCCGATGATGACCGTGTTGAATTTAGATCTCAATCGGAGGGGTTAATCTCAAACATTTCAAAGTGCCCTCAAATTTTCAAAAAATTCAAATATTTTCAAGTGACCTCAAAGTCACCCAGATGAAGGCCGTGTTGAATGCAAATCTCAACTTGAGGGGTCAATTTAAAATATTTTAAATTCCACCTAAATGCCCATGAAAATCCAAAATCAGAAAAACCCAAATATTTAAAAGTGAAATAACCCATCAACAACTTAAAGCAAACCTATCCACCTTACGCAACATTTTTCCTAGGCGGACAAATCTGAAAATCACTTCAACTCACAAAGAGCTAATACCTAATCGAAAATATCACTAGGATCCATTCTCAAATAATTTCTTGCCAGTAAGGACGTGGCACGTGTCCCCTGATCGGCTTTTTTGCCACTAAATATCACTACAGGATAAATGGTTATGACCCGTGGCCATTTGAACCGAGTGGTTTTGCCTTCAAATGGCACTACGTGATAATAGTTATGGTTAGAGCCAATACATTTCTTAGTGGCATCAATTCCTTGAGATATAAATCAATAGGATACGATTGATAAGCCATACAATCTTCTATTAGCTAAGGTGAATTCAAATTTGTACCCTTAGATAAACATTCACCCGAGGTCTATAAGGTCTTCTTGGACGAAGCAACCCATGGTTGACGACAAGGATTCTTCTGTCAGGTTGGGTTGATTACCTCCTCTGTCTAAGTAAACCTGGGATCACGATGGCCCGGGATGATGGAACTATGGGATTGATCGAGTCCATCATCTATTCCCCCACCATTCGCTTTAAGTGCAAGGTGGTGCAATTTCAAATTTTAAATATCAAACTCTTCAAATTTCAAATACCCAAGCCATGCTGCTACTATATACGAGATAACACGTATCTCTATGTATCTTATTGACGACTAGCCTTAATCGAAAGTTATCTCTTGTTATCAGGAGGGGTAATTAACTATAGGGGCTTGCAGCTATAGGAAACCAAAACTCAGATCATAAAGTCCTCGCAAAATAATGAGGGCAAAATCTCTAGGTAGTATCTTATATACAAACCAATCTGCCTTCCAAAATTTACCCTTGAACTAATTCCGTTAAAACTCCCCCGAAGAAAAGCAACGGGGGAGGTCGGGGCTGAATTTTTGGAGCTCATAGTAGGAAGTTTAGCATTGTAGAAAGCTAAAGAAATTGTAATTGTATTTTCTGCAATAGTGTGTGCAGAAAAAGTGAGGAGAATAGTGAACATTGTTGCTATAGTTGCTGAAATTAGTGTTTTGTTTCTGAAATATGAATTTCTGAATGCTGAGTGTGCTGAAACTAGTTGTTGAATTCAGTAATGAAAATAGGGAGATTAGGAAGGAGAAAAGAAAATATTATGGGTTGAATGAGGAAGAGTATAATTGATGTAATTCATAAGATGTTCATATTGTTGTTTTATTTATTTTCAAGTATGTATAAATAAAAAAAATGCATGTTTTAGATGGTGTACAAAAGCAGAAGAAAACAGGACTTTGAAGAATGAATTTTAAGTGAAGTGAGATACTCAAACAATGCATAAAAACTTGTTAAAGTTTTATATATTTATAAATTCAGAATTGTTATGTTATGTTTATGATATCATTCTAATTTCAGTTTAGTCATGCAATTGTTGATACATTAATTAGTGACTATAATACCACAATTTATTGTGTATTTCATTGAGCCATAGCTCATTATCAGTGATTGTACTTTAGAAAAGAGAATGAACCTGTAGGGCATTAGACAAAAAGGAGTGACTATTCATTTTGGTGTAAATATATTTTAAGTGTACATATATGTCCAAGTGGAGGCTATACATAAATTTTTGGGATGCGTAAATAAGTTTTAAAAAGTTTTAGTAAAGCTTTGTATTTCTTTTGATTATATTTGAAGTTTAATTGAGACATATTATATGCTTCATGTTGTTAAGTATAAAGCTTGATATGCTAGGAGAGTCTAAATATATTATTTTTTACTCATCGAATTCTGATAGAAGTCGCTCGTGAGTATTAGTAAGAAGTGGCCTGTTTAGATTTTCCTTCTCCATTATACTCCAGGTCGACCGTAAGGAGGGCCAAAATGGGGTGTGAGACCTACTTCCTATAAAACTGAACATGGATGATAAACAGTTAAAAAGTGAACCCTAAGTAGTTGTGATAGGCAGTCCAATGACGAAAATGATAATGAATGAAGCATAGCATTCAGTTGTAATAGTTTGGTCATGCTTTTCTCCTTTAATTAACATTTTGTGGTGCGACATGTTCTGATGAGGACATCATCAGCGATTTCGACACATGTACCATCAGGAGATGCCAGAGATCGACGGCCATGATCATGAGTTGTTTTTTTGTCATTTTATGTAGTAGTTTATTTTATTTTTATGTTTTTCCGCTTTTGCCCTTGTGGGTATTTAGTTGCTATTGTAGCCCCAGGGGCATTTTAGTCTTTTGTTTTTTTGTCATTTGGTGGCCTATATATTTTCTCATGTAATAGTAGTTTTGATGAATGAAAAAAAAAATTACTCTTTGTTCTCTTTGTGAGTGCACTTCTCCTAGATCTCTTAGTGAGTTCGACGGAAAAACTAGATCTCTTTGTGAGTTATAGATTTCGTCCAAGTTATTTGTGTGGAAATCCGGGTTGAAGTTAATCGAGGTTTATTAAATTCGTAGTCGCTCGAATACCTTGAATTTTCCCTTTCTTCCTCCCTTTGCAATTGCCGCCGCCTAGCCCTTAGCCGCCGGCCAATTGGCTGCAACATCCCGCCGGCCGCCCCTTCCATGGATTTTCAAATTTTGAAATTTCAAATTGTTATGAGTTATTAATTGTTTCCTAATTTAGCTCCTTAATTTACGCCATCAATTTAATTGATTTTCAATTTCGAATTTGAAATTCAAATTGTTTAAATTGATTGCCCTCCTAAATGGAAGTTTTCTCTTCTTAAGAAAACTGAAAATTTATTTCAGATTTTGAAAAAAAAAAATCTGAAATTAAATTGTTGATCCCCACTTATTCAAAACTCACCCCCTCTCTCATCCTCATGTGGCCGGCCCCCTTAATGGCCTCCTCTCTCTCTCCTAGTCACCTTAATAGCTCCACAAAATCAGCCCCAACTCCCTCCTCTCATTGCCGCCCCCTTCCTTATGGGAATTCAAATTGAATTCCACAATTAAACCCTTCCCTCCTTCTCAAAATTTGAGAAAATTTCAGTTTTACTGAAATTATCTCGTAGCATCTCCAACCTAGCCGACCTCCCCTATCCCTCACGCCGGCCAACCTTCTCCACTCCAAGCCGCCACCTTCCACCTCCCTTCTTCTTGTCGGATGCTACCTCAACTCCCGACAAGAATGCATGGCGGAACCAGAATGAAACTTTGGATTTGTGCATGACGATCGAGATCAAGTTGACATTCTCCAATCACCGTTCTTTGACGTGGGCTTCGATTTCGACGACACTATTGAAGAGCACATCGACCGTGTCAAGTACACATTAGTTGATGTGCTCGACGAGCAAAGATCAAAGGGACGTTGGATCATCATTGGATGACCATCATCCTCCACCGCTCCGGCCACCTATCCAAGAACGACGATCTTAGGTTCCTTCTTCCTCGGAGTGACCTCGGTTCTAATGTGGAGACTCTTCTTCCGCTAAAGCCTAGACTAGTTGAGTGTATGGACTCCAAATGTGAAAATTCTCATTATTATATCGTGGACTCTTGTTTATTATCGTAGCGTACAATTATTCTTTGAGTTTTCTTGAATTGTTTGGTTGATCGATTTCGCTCTTCTTTGCCTAAGCAAGTTAAAAACTGAGAACTCCAAGGATCAATCTTTTGCTATAAGTGATAATTTTATTTTGGATTATTTTGTTAAATTTGTTCTCTTTAATTTCCTTAAAGTAACTCCTGAACGGGTTTGTTTCACATCATGTTCTCCAACATATCAACTGTTTCTCAATTGTGTTGGTGCTTCATTTCCAACAATTCTGTATTCTATCAATTTTCATAATAATGCTGCTGCTGCTGCTGCTGCTTCTCCTTATGAATGCATTATAGTTCGGTTTCTTTTGTTCTTATGCTCTTAGTGGATTAATTCTGCAGGAATGCTTCATTTAATACCTTATTATTTTAAATTTGTTTGTTCAGGTGCTTCATCTAAGCCTACTCCTGATCTTAAGAAGGAACAACTTGAGCAGCTTGTAATTCAGCTTTTGTTAGATCGTGTACTGGTAAGATGTCTCTCTGTTTTAATATTACGTGTGTTTTTCAGAAAAAAATAGCGTGTATATTAGAATCCTTCATATGTGGGAAAATATTAAATAATTACGTGTAAGATATCCAAATTTTGGATGTATTTAGAATTATGTAAAGATAATACTAGTTATATCCAAACTGTAATAGAAATTTTATATTCTTGTTTTTTTTTTTTTTTGAGTGGAAACAAATTTGGAATATCCAAATTTGATTAGTAGTACTTGAAGAATTGGGTCTTCCATTAATTGCTTTCTCCATGTTTAAATAGTTGGTAGTGTTCGCTATTCATAATATAAGAGATCATTGTGGTGAAGAATTTTTTTTTTTCTCCACATTATTGGAGCAGGCTCAAATCAAGACTAAAAAAACTAATCTCTGTTTGCTGTCCTTTGGAAGAGCATTTACTCCCAATTTTCCTGTGTCTAGTGATTCTAGAGGGTTCGTTTAACCTTTGTTTTATTTCTTCTGATCTAGATTATCAGCCTTCATTGCTTGTTTCTCTACAACTTTCATTGTTGATCTAGAGTCATATATATTTTCTTCTTCGTTAATCTAGATTCATTAAAATGCAGTTTTCGTACTCGTTAGAGCCTCTTATATCAACCTTTGTTGAAAGTTATACTTCATTTCCTTTTTTGACGTCCTTTGAAATACAAAACTTATTAAAATCAACCAAGGTTTTAAAAGGCGAAATCGGGAATCGAGGCATTTTTTCTAAGCGAGGCAAGGCATAAGCCTCGAGGCGGATCGAGGTGTAAGCCTCAAAATGAATAAAATAAATTAATTTACAATTATAAATAATGACAAAAAATAATAAAATATTATGTCAACTATGAATTTGAAGATTTGTTTCAAGATAATATTACTGGAATACAAGATTTAAAATAAACTCACTTAAAAATAAAACATCCCTTTGGGATCAAGACCCAAAGCAGGCTCATCATCACTTTGATTGTCTTCAGAATCATCATAATTAATGTCAAAGTCATCCTCAAACTCTTCTTCATCTATAATATATTTTTTTTATCTCCTATATCAATTAATATTTCATTAGCTCTAAAATGAAACAATAGTAACATACAAAATAATTCATTATATTTAAGAATACCTTTGAATTTTTTCGAAACTTCAATCTCACGTTGTTTCTTTCTTTTATATACTTGGGTAGTTGCTTCATTGTCTTCTTCATTAACATGAGTTTCTCCTTCTGCTTCAACTTCAAAAACATCAGCATTCCTAGGAGTAACCCATTCATCATCAGATTGTAACTCATCAACAAGCAAAGGGTCAATTTCATTCTCAATATTTCCTTGATTCTGCAATTTGAGATGTCTATCTTTCAGTTTTTTGTTAAACATAACATAAACTAGTTTGTTCATTCGATCTGCCGCCAATCAATTTCTTCTCTTTGTATGAATTTGATTGAAGATGCTCCAATTACGCTCGCCTGCAGAAGCCGAACACGTTGGGCTAAGAACTTTAACTGCAAAAGCTTTCAATTCAGGAACATCATCTCCAAACTAAGCTCACCAACGTTCTACATGAAGATAAACATAGTATTTTATGAATATTGGTTGAAGTACAAGAGTTGAACATAAATATTAACATTAAAATTATAAATACACAAATTATAAACATTCCAGGAGATTGTGTTTTGAAGCATGCTTGTGCTGTTCTAAATCCAAACATTCCCTTCTTCAAATGAAAATCCTCAAGTTGATCATTAACTTTGAGGTAGCTTCTTTAGAAATGAGTCTATCCATACATGCATACAAACCAGTTTTCACCTCTTTGTCAACATGAAAATCTTTATCATAATGAAATTGGGGATTTAAATAGTACACAGCAGCATGTAAGTGTTGGTGTAATTGTCAATCCCACTTTTCATTTATAATATTCCATATTTCTTTGTAGGCACTTTCTTGATCTCCCAATTCTTTTGCAATGTCTTCTTTAGCCCTATTCATTGCTTCATAAATAAATCCCATAGCCGGGGCCCTCTCAACATCAACCATTCTAAGCACCTTAACTAATGGTCCTGTTGTCTTTAAAGCATAATTTGTACTCCGCCAAAATGAATCGTCTTTCATAGCAATCTTTTTAACTTGTTTTCCTTATTGTTTTTTGGCCCATGAGCTTTTATCCCACTCTTCAGAAGCAAATATTGCTTCCAAAGGTTGTCTTAACTCCTTGAATCTCTGCAATGTTAAATATGCAGTATCAAATCTTGTAACAGCAGGTTTAATAATTTCCTTTTCAGTGAACTTTCTCATCAAGCTGAGTACCCAAGAATGATTGTATATAAACTTACTAACGAATTTGGACTTTAATATGGCTGATTTATGTTGAGGCAACTGTCCCAACCTATCAAGCATCAAGTCAATACAATGTGCAGCACAAGGAGTCCAGTAAAGGTGAATCATCTTCTCCATTAACATTCTCCCTGAGCTTTGTATGCACTTGTATTATCAGTAACAAGCTGTACTACTAAGGCATCTCCCACTTCCTCCACAACTTCATCCAATATTTCAAACAATAATTGTGCATCCTTGACAAAGCTTGAAGCATCTACTGATTTGAGAAAAACTGTTCTATATGGATTGTTGACCAAGAAATTAATAATACTTCTATGTCGAATATCTGACCAACCATCTGACATTATTGTCACTCTTGTCTCAATCCAAATCTTCTTAACATCATTCATCATTTTTGAAGTTGTCTTAACCTCCTCATTCAGCATCCAAGTCCTCAGCTCATACATGCTTGGAGGTTGTAGTCCTCTTCCATAGCTTCCAACAGATCGTAACATATTGATCCATGACGGACTCCTAACAACATTAAACGATATCCAAACAAACTCTGTTCCTAAGTTCTTTTGTAGCTGTAGGAGGCTGAATATCCTGAGTATTTATGTTTTTCTCATTATCAATATTTAGCATGAATCTATCCATGGGCCCCCGACTGTCTCGGTCTGAAGAAACTAGATGGCTTCCAGTACTGGAACCTTCATGCTATGATCCATAGTAAGAAGAGTTTCCTATCATCTCTTCCATATTTCTTTTTGTGACCTCCTTTGTGGTGGCAAACTTCTTTAAGTAATCAATACATTCTTTTTTCACTTCAACAGGTACTTTTGCATATGGTCTCACATTGACATGAGTGCAAGCTAGGTGATCCTTCAGCCTCTTGACACCACCCGTAATGCGCTTCTCACAGAAATTACAATTCATGTAAACATATCCCTTCTTCGCACCTTCGTCTGACACTTCAACTTGAGTGCCATATTTCCATGCAGGATCTTTTCTTCTCGCGCCACTAGTCATACTAATAATAGATAGAAAAGAATAATTAACATCAAATACAAATTATAAACAATTACCATCATAAATGCCTCCTATAGAATAATTTATGAATCATCATAATTAAATGTCTCAACCATAAATAAGATATCTATAATCCATAATCAAATTATAATCACATCAAGAATAATCTCTAAAATAAGCTCCATAAAAATACATAATATAGGGTTGAATTAGGACTTATACAAAAGTGATGGAATTTTTATATCACAAGCATTAGTTCTTATGTGTTGCAAAATTCCAAAAAATTACTTTCTTGCATTCAATTTTTTTAAATGTTCCTAATTCCACATAACTCCAATTCAAATAACCAAAAAGCTTAAAATTGTCAAAATTAGTAATATATCCTAATACAAGTCATTCATATATTAGGTTATAAATGTGATTAAGGATTCAAATTAATGAGTTATTTTATATGGCTTACCAAGAATAATTATTTCTAATCAAGTAATAAAAATCACAAGCAACTTCTCAAAATTTCTTAGAAGAAAAAATGAAAGCACAATTTAATTTCACAACCTATCATTCACAAACTAATGGTGATGACCATGGATGATGCAATATTTAAAGTGATGGTTTAATGAGATTTGTATGATCAAAGATGTATGAATCTATGGGGTCATTTGATTGCTTGTAAATGGGAAGTAAAGAATATCCAGTAACAATTCCAAATGAGACGACCAAAATCAATACCATTGAAACTGTAATACCCAAAATTAACTTAAGAAATCTCAATTTCTTTTTTGAAGGAATGAAGAGAATCAAAACAAATAATCTAAGCTTGCCTATGAATTTCGATTCATGTTAGAAGAATAATCTACTATTTCTCAATGTTAAATTTAGAAGTTTCTTGTGTCACCGGCCAAGGACTTGATACAGCCAGAGGGGATGTAAACGGCCTTGAAATGGGATAAAAAATAAGAAAGAAAATTAAGAGTGAAAAGCTTATTTGCAACCTATCTAACCACATTAATAAGCATTAAATCTCAAGACAACAGATGAAAAAAAAATTCTTATTGTCGCTGAACGATAGAGGCATGAAGAAAAACAGGATCAAGAAGCTTTCCTTCGTCTCCAGTGGCCTTCAGGTACGTCAAACACGAAGTATGTTGAGCACGGCGCAGGAAGAAAATAGGGAACGAACGACCGAGAGCGAAGTCGTCGAACCTGAAGTCGTCGAAGTCCTGGATGCCGTCGAAGTCGTGGATCTCGTCGAAGTTTGTTGAACACGACGCAGGAAGAAGAAAACAGGGAATGAAAGTTGTCGAAGTCGTCGAAGTCAAAGTTGGTTGAACACGACGTAGGAAGAAGAAAACAGGAAACGAATGTTGTCGAACTTGAAATCATCGAAGTCGTCGATGCCGTCGAAGTCGTGAATCTCGTCAAAGTCGTCGTTTGGGAAAGTCGGCGGGAGCAGGGATCACACGACCGAACGGGAGGAAGAGAACGAGCAGACGAGCAAACGAGCAAACGAGAGAACGAGCAGGGATCACACGTTCGATCAAACTGTTGTCCAAGTCGGAGGAGGAAAATGAGCAAACGAGAGAAAACAGGGAATGAAGGAGAGGGAGCGGAGGAAATGCTTACAAAAGAAGCCCTAAGCTTTATTTACGCAT